TCCCTAAATGAGGAAAGAATAGGAAGTATTTTCTTGGGGAAAAAAAAGAAGGTGCACCAAGATAAAAACATATGCAGCATAAGGCATTGAAAAGAGGTGAAAGATTAAGCTAATTTAAAAAAAAAAAAAAAGTGCTATGAAAAAGCAAATCTGGTTCCTATTGGATATTCATGCACATGAAATTAAACTGAAGATTCTCAGATAAGATTTAAACTACCTCAAAAACCCACAGAGCCTTCACTATTGAAATCACTATACAATATATAGTTCGAATAGCCTGAACTTCTCAAAGCGTTTTTTTGTTCTTGCCTTTTTCTGTTAATGATAGCCTTTTGATGTTCCATAAGCTTCTTGCCTTTTGCTGGTCTAAGGGAAGAGAGAGAAGCAAAATACTAAAGCTTTCCATCGTCCTATAAATTTGGTGATCAGGCCTGTCAGACCTAATTGTTCTCCAAGACACTTAGCTAATTTCCCTGTGACTCCTCTTTCCCAATTCAGCTTCCTGGGAAACTGACCTCTTCTACACCACATATTGAGATTTGAGAGGGGTTTTTTGACCAGTAAGATTGATTATACAGTATTCTCAGCCTTTACAAGCTTTTATGTCTGAATACGCTGGCCTACTGCATACCCACCAGCTTACCTCTCAATATAACAGCTCTCACTGAATCTGGATGCAAACTGTGCAATTTTGTGCTCTGTCATTTACAAATTCTCATATTACATACACAGGCAAATACACAGCCTAAGACTTAAGCTTTTAGAAGCCATGTTACAAGATGTCCTCACAAGCACGGCCGTACATACTGTATGCTGCACGAACTATTCAGATCAACTCCTCTTTGTTAGAGGCATTCCAATGAGCTCCCAAAAGCAGAGACAGACTTTGCTGTCTGTATTCTGCTTCTAACAAAGGCAGCTTTGTTCCATCAGAAACGGCCTTGCCATTTATTAGAAGCCTATCTTGGTGTTTCTGGAGAGCTTCCACTAAACATGTTCTAAGTCAAAGTTCCTAGATACAGGGTCTAAGCAATTTTGACTAAAGATTGTTTTTATCAGCACATGTTCTTTAGCTCACTAAACTTTTGTCTGGGTGACCAAAATGACTGATAACTACAACCATACACTCCTACTCGTACTTATTATTTTATGTTTTTAAGAAAAGGAAAGGCCGCTTAAAATACAACACGTACTGGGACAGAGACACAATTTTATGGTATTCTTGAAACAAAAAGGTGTTTTTGGCTACTACCTTGGAAGATTGTGAAAATGGGAAGTGATAGTTTGAACATATCAAGAAAAAGAGACTTTTATTTTAAAAACACTTTCATTATTTGCACAAGTGAGGTTGCAGAAAACCAGCACACAGTTTGTCATAGTTTAACAAGATTGCATAACTCAGGAAATAAAATATGCTTTAAGTCTGAATGGGAGTTATGAATTCTCTTTTTACTCTGAGTTATAAAAAACAAGTTCTCGAGCCATTAGACTTCCCAGACAAGAAAGAATAAGATTATAATTTTAGGCTGGTGCGGTATTTTCCGGTCTTTTTTTTTCCCCTCCCACTTCCTTTCAAGACTATTAATCAAAGGAGTTTCAAAAATTCTCCTAAAAATGTTGCTTTTTTTCCCCCTCTCCCTGTCTCTGCTTTAAATAGTGCAAGTGAGACTTTTAGAGTGGATTTAATAGTTTGGAAGGCTCATTCACTGAAAACACAGGAAAATCCAAATAAACACTATTTGCCTAGCTATACGAATATGTTTAACTGTGTCTTATAAAAACAGACCAAAGAAGCAGCAAATTGTCCAGGCTACCTAAAGCTCTGCTTTCTATTAAATTATCTAAAAAAGGTGCCAATTACCCGCTAATACATGAGCGTTTCTGTAATATCAACATTTGTCCAGCAAAAAGTGGGCTCAGGATACCTTATTTTCATGCACACAATCATATTTGACATAAACAGACGCCTTTAAAAAGTACCATTCCTTGAAAACAAGGAAAACCTGCACTCTCTGACAACCTGCACTCTCTGACAACGCTGCTGCTGTACAACTCTCATTCCTGCGGTGGCTGTGGATTCAGAAAATACCCAGCTTCTGGCAAACAACCTCCATTATAAGAAAAAGAGAAACAAAAACAAAAAGGGGGGTGGGGAAAGTGTAGATTTTACGGAATCAGTCCAAACGTACAGCTATTATATAGCTTCTAGATTACTTTTGTACTTGACACAATTTATTAGACTCCTTCACATGTACACTTCATGAAATAAAATCCTATCATTGCATAAGCTTCAGAAGACATAAAATCAAACCGCTGCACAACAGATGTAAAATTCCATAGACTGCGTGGGGCTTCAGGGAGCCAAGAAAAGACCTAACCATGATTGGGAATGCAAAGCTTGACAAGTTCCACAAAGATAAATGCAGGTTTAACTCTAAAGAATTCACAATATAATAATTTCTACAAAAATGAAACAGGACAAAAGAAAAGGAAACAAAAGAAAGCTGAAAAGGTGGGAAGGACTGACTCCAGAAATATTTCTAGTCTGACAGATTCCCTGTCCAATCATTAGCCTGATTTCTGAAATAAGGCTAACGATTGGCTTTACAGAGGAACAGCGATACATTTAGAAGTTACATGATGTTAAGGTGAAGAAGATCAATGAGTATCTTATAACTAGGCTATGCACATCCTTTAGCCACAGCGTTTGATTTCACGCTAGAAAATAAGGAGTAAAGAAAGAAGTATAGACCTTTTTGGTTGTTAGTTACGTAGGTCACAGCAATTTACCTACTGGTACTGCTATTTAATAATGCCTACAAGTCAATAATTATTAGCAATAATAAAACAGGCTTTTCAGCATTCATGTTATGTAAGACGTGCAAACATTTCCTTTTCATGTAGACACTATCTGTAGCGTATCCGTTTCTCTCATTAACAACTATGTACTAAAAAAACCTTACCCCTCCCCTCCCCCCCCAAAAAAGGGCACAGCAGATCTGAGAAGTCATGTTTCCTCTTAGAAGAACTGCAAGTCTCTGCCATCAGGTGCTATGGCATGCACAGCACTGTTCATGGACAGTAAAATGCCTATGCTGTTTACATAAAAGATACCACAGTCACGCAGTATGCTGCACATTGAGTACTAAGTACAAAGTAAACAATGATTCAACTGATTAAGGAAAACACTGGCAAGAGTCAGTCCTTAAGGGCACATGTGAAACTCTTGCTCAATTTTTAGCAGTTTAATACAGGCAAAGTGGGTTTAATTTGATAGACTGTGAAGACGAGGTAGGACTGTTTAATATATCAACATCTAGCTTAAGAATTATTTAAAGTATGCTTATTTCTACTAAAATATACTATATTCTTTCCTTCTCGACCAATTTTCAGAGAAATTAATGCCATACCTATCCTATTAAAAGTAAGCTCAAACACTGCCCTATTTTCTTCTGCATATGAAGTGATGAACCGTACATATCTATACAATTCCTGAAAAAAACAGCTAATTAACTGTGAAGAGCAGCAGCAGTCCTGGAACACGTCCCTCAAGGCAAGCCTCAGGGCACTCACTATCTTTGAGAAGCAGAGCTGCAATATGCTTGGAGATCCTAACGTAAGGTGAGTCTGCCAAACTCATGTTATTTGTATCATGTTCATGGTTATCTGTATTTTCCATCTTCACACTAGTGTGGCAGTTTTGGAAGAAATGGTTACAACTCCAAAATTACCTGAGATTCAAATAAGAAACTACTTTTAAGTTCAAATGGTTAGGAAAATACACACTGGACATCTCTAGTCCAGCCTACCTGTAAGGCCTCTCTGCCAAATCAATACAGCCACAAAAGGAAACAATTGTTCTATTTGAAGCATAGAGAATACACTGGCAAAAAAAGCCAAAAGATTTTTCCCCAAAACGAACAAGATGCCTCTCAAAATGAGTAAATAAGGCACAGTGTAAGTCTCCAAATACTAATAAGTGCCCCAAGTACTACAGGTAGCACTGATCAAAGCTCTACTATCCAAGGAGTTGCCCATCAGGTATCCAGAGAGAATATAATCTGAAGAAACAAGGGCTTGCTCATTCATATCACAAAGAGAATCTACGGTTAGTAAAGAAAAAAAAAAACCAAAGTTTCATAAATTAAGCTGACAAAAAAAAAATCACTTTCTCAGGGCCTGAATAATGAACTAAATCCTATGTTCAATCCTCAGGAATGCATAAACCATCCAGCAAAGATATGCTGCATCACTTTCTTGCTCATGGATCCAAACAAATTACAGACAGCCTGGAGTAGTTTCAGTGATCGGTCCGAACATTACTGAAGTTTAAATTTGTTCTGAGGAGCCACTATTCCAGTTTGGGGGCAGCTCAGAAAAACTTTAGATCTCCGACTTTCTTGAGCAAAGCCAGCTTTGGAGGCTCAATGCATGGCCATCTCCAGTTTTCTATCGCATTTCTCTGCAGAAGTTTCTAACTTTGCAGAGCTGACAGAAAAAGCTTGTGCCCCTACTTCAGTTCTCTACCCACTGCATCAGCAAATTGCTGCTCCCATCACATGGCAACATAGGAGAAAAACAACAACAACAGAGGATTATTTCTCCTTCCAGCTAATCCTGGCTGTCAGTTCTACTGGGTTCCGAGTTACCTTAGTTGTTTGCATTACACTAAGCAAACGTTTAGCACTGTATAGCATATATATTTTAGGGCTCTCAGCGCACAAAGAGTCAAATTCCATTCTAATTAAATTACAGCCCATGAAAACTATGACTGTGGATATTAAGAAGGGCAACATTTGACTTCTCATTCTTAAGTTGTTTGGCCTAGCCTTTGGCTGAAGTTTCCACCTTGCCACTATGGCTCGATTTTGTTGTACTAATAAAGACACTGCTTTGTTTATTGCATGTCATTACTTATTTAAAATGTATTTTGAGTACTAACAATCGCCCTCAGATATAATTTCAAGGAAACAGAAGACGGTTTATATTTCTGCACTTACTTTTTGCTTGCTTCATAAACATCTGTAATATTGGAGAAAAGGTGGTGGCTCTCTGTTTTGGTCATTGTGAGGCTCAGTTCTTTGGAATTTTTAAACATCCGGATCAGAATCTCCAGGCTCAGCAAATAAGAATGTTCAGAAGATATTACTTCAAAAATAGCCTGCAAAGAGGAGGAAAAAGAAGACTTACTATCGACTAGTGCTTTTTTTTTTTTTTTTTAATGTGAAGAAAAAGGTGGAAGAGGAGCTCAAAGAAGTATTTCCGTGACTATTATTACACCATCCGCTCTTACAAATACATGATTTAATAGTGGTAAAAGGCTATTTTAAGATTTTAACGCAGCTGCAAACAGTGTTTGAAGGCAATAAATTTAACAGCAACTGTGATCATTCCCACTCATACACAAAGTTTTTGAGGAAATACTGCCCATTTCTGTGGTCTGGTCAGAAGTTTCAAACCAGTTGTATTACTGTCCACCAGCTGGTATGTCCTTCTGGTCTTTTTAAATAGAAGCCATTAGGTTATTTGCTAGAGAAAATTTTTGGATAACACAACTCTGATTACCTAAGCATCTGTGGAAAAAAAACAAAACCCTTTGCAGAATCCAGGTTCTAGTCATGTATCAGCATTGACACATGGGTTACTTTTAAGGCATTAAACTCTAAACTGCCAAGTGAGGAGCAGGCACATGAGAAGCTGAGATACCTGCAGCAGAGGAGGAAGCCTGTGAAAAAGCAGCAGAGCAGACAGGGGGGAGTGGCAACCACTATCTGCTTCAGCGATTAGTGACCAGACACCCGACAACCAGGACAGAAAGGTAGACCCCCCACTACATACACACAACTTGCCACACAAGCAACTTCTCTGTTTTATTCTTTGTATCACCCTAACACTTACAGCACAAAGCCACCATAAATTCCATGAGCTGGCTGACATACAAGCAAATTTTTAGTGAACTCCTGGACTTTGAAACGCACAGATTTGTTCCATCAGATCTTTTCATCTCTGATGTAGTCATCTTGCTAGCTTGATGACTGCAAGGCTACATTAGTACAGTCAGAAAGAAACGGGACAAATAATGATACCTTGCTTCTAATGTTTTCTGTGAGGAATGAAAACTCATGCATAGCGTAGGATGAGAGTATCATCTCCTTAAACATGTTTCAAAGAATAAGAAAAAAAAAGAAAAAAAAAAAAAAGGATTAAGCAACAATCATCTTGGCTTTCACATAGCAGCTACCCTACCTTAACAGGCTGCGGGGGTATTTACCAATTGCTTGACAATAGTGTTTTTGAATGACATCTGAAATCATCTTATGGCTACTTTGCATTATATCAACATCAGATCTTTTCATCTCTGATGTAGAAATCTATTCAGCTTCTAGGTATCTTCTACCTCTCTAGACTTTTTTTTTTCCCCCCTCTGTTAGTCTACTAGAGTTCTTACATGTATATACCGCTTGGAAAAAAATGAAATAATTCTCCTGAACCCTTTCCTCATAGCATCTTATGCCTTCACTGAGTCACACTTGTTATAAGAGGTACTTTCTAAGCATTACAAACACAGAGTAATCTGATCAGCAGAGCTAATGTAACTTTGTTCTCAATATCACTAATGTTAATACTTGTACATATAATATCATGTTATTTGCAATTAACTTCTCCAAGCATCCTTAAATCAAAGAAGAAATACGTATTTCAAACGCAACAGTGCAGATATGGTATTTAGAAAGGCCAATTCCTAAGGCCCTACAAACAACAGAGAGTGAGAAAGAGAGGGTTCTGCAGATGACAGACCACAGGAGTTCACTTAGATGCTCTGATATATTCCCTAGAGAAACCCTGCTCTCCTGCCACTATGGATAAAGCAAAAAAAAACAAAAACAAAAACAAAAACAAAAACCTATAGGCAGGCTGAAGGCATCTAAACGCTCCCAAACACTCCCTGGGAAACACCATGCAGGGGGACGGGGGGGATTTCCTGTGAACATTTATTTATAAGAATTCAAGTCTAGTGAATTCTGCTATTTTTACTAAGGTAAGCTTTTGATCAAAAGAAAGAGGTCCAATTTATTTTTCTAGAATATCTTGAGTCTCAGTGTTCCCAGACTGTGCTTCAAAAGTGATTCTTGTCCTGAAAAATCTTCTTCAAAGCGCTAAGATTTTAATAATGAAATAACAGGCTTGGGATTTCTCCCCCCCCCCCCCCCCCCCCCCAAAAAAAAAAAAAAAGCAACTGCTTTAACTCAAGCCTCTAAAGGTTTGTGCAGTTCAAAAAAGATTTATTAACTCTACGGAAAACCTAATGGGCCATCATACATACAGGACAAGGAAGTATAATTTACATTAAGTTCCAACAGTAGTTTCTCCATCTTATTAGCTAGCTAAAGATGGGATCTGACCAGGGACACAGCAGCAGCTAAGTAACAGCTATACTACAGTATATATTATTTGTAAGACCGTGTACTTCTGTGTAAGAAGATATGCAAGGGTGATGCTTAACATAATGTTAAATTGCCTGTCTGCCAAATCGCTTGGCCAGAAATCTAGAGAATATATATGTATGCCAGCCAATCTCCGACAGCAAATCTACTTGCTCACTTGGCTAACAAGGGGCAGAAAGGTGTCTAAAAGGGGTATTTTGGCCTTTGCCCACCAGTTACATTTCCAATGTTCAGCCTCATTGCACTTCTCTCAGCTGCACTCACAGAGAAAGGATTTGCTAAAGTCATGGAACTCTGCAGCAGTTTAATTCGTTCCTATCCAGACATTTTTCAACACAGGAGCAATAGACAAGCTTTCTTATTATTGTTTTGGAGAGGTTTTGTTTATGCACTTACTGAGGGCCCTCCCGGACTACTGCTAGCTTGATGACTGCAAGGCTACATTAGTACAGTCAGAAAGAAACGGGACAAATAATGATACCTTGCTTCTAATGTTTTCTGTGAGGAATGAAAACTCATGCATAGCGTAGGATGAGAGTATCATCTCCTTAAACATGTTTCAAAGAATTAAAAAAAAAAGAAAAAAAAAAAAAAAGGATTAAGCAACAATCATCTTGGCTTTCACATAGCAGCTACCCTACCTTAACAGGCTGCGGGGGTATTTACCAATTGCTTGACAATAGTGTTTTTGAATGACATCTGAAATCATCTTATGGCTACTTTGCATTATATCAACGTGAACAGATGTTTGAATCCTGATGGACAGTAAGTACTCTCTACAACAGTTAGGAGGCCAGATGTATACATTTCTGTATGGCAATGCAGAGGTACACATATACAAGGTTAAAGTTTCCCGTTTGCAGGAAAATTGAAGATCCATTGAAAAGTATTTCAGTTCCAATTTACTCTACTTGTACGATGCATTTTTCTTAGGCAAGAGATGCACAGAGATCCAATCCAACTCACTAATAAGTTACTGAAGATGGAATGCATAAGAATGCTTGAGACTTTGACGTTTGACCAAGGCATAAACCAAATACAAATATGTTTTTCTGCAGTGATGATATACTGACAAAACTCATGTGATAAGTAAGCTCTAACTTGTTACATAAACTACACACAAGAAACGAAGCTAAAGCACCACTTCACAGAACAACTACATCTTAAGAATATTTCCTTAGACTCCCTTTGAAAGGATGGACCTCTAACACTCAGGCTTGAAAACTTTTTGGTAACATTAAAGACTTTACATTTGAAAAGTATCTAAAGAACTCGTTGTCTTTGAGGGGATGTAAACATGACTTCAGGAAACATTGACTAAAGGCTCCTAAAGGATGTAAGAGGACTGAAATTAATGCCTTGTGTCTAAGAGCTTCCCAACAGCAGGAGGCAAAAAAAGCAGCACACGTGACCTGAACTACTACACACCCTCTCCCCCAAAGAGCAAAATAAGATAGCAAAGGAGGTACAGGATTGTAAAGCAAAACAAAATGTCTAAATCCTGTGTACGTAACACAAGATGCGTCTGCATTTCATGTCTGAACACAACAGCAGTTAAGTCACACAGCTAAATTAGTATTTGAGGCTCACTATACACGTGTCAATGAAACTCAAAGAAAACTCTAGACAGCTCTAATTTGGTTAAGTTCACTGAGGTATTTCCTGAAGTGAAAGGAAGATTTTGGAGGAAATTAACACAGCAGGTAATTCTACAGTGTTGCTATCCCCAAATCCTTTTTCTCCATTGACGGACATACCTCAGCAACTGAAGGTATGTAATAGTTGGCTAGGTCAGGCTATTCTTTTCAGCACCTCTCATTCACTCTGATATAGCTCCTGTAAGTAAGGAAAAAGAGGAAAGCAGATAAAGAGGACAAAAGGAGCAAAGAAAACGGGGAAAGAGAGAAAGACAGAGACAGAGTATCCGCCAGATACATACCACGTACACAGTCAGGGCTGTTCACAGGATTAGTTACAACTGAGAAGCACTGCAAAAAGCTGTTCATTGTTCCTTACTGCCTTTATCAACTTATGTACCACCCCCTCTCCTCGGTGAATGAAGGGTTAGTTTTACACCTGCCTGAATACAGCACACAACAGCCTTGGGTCTGGCTGCCTGCTACTGCTGAAGAGTCATCAGCCAGGCTACATTTGCTGGAATCAGCATACCTAGCAGCTACTCCTCCAGCAAGACCTGAAGGATGTTGACAGGAGACCCAAAGCAGAGAGATATACACATGAGCAACAGACAGATTTTGTTTCTTTATTCTTCATGGGCAGAGAGGTTGTTTCACTTTAGGACAGGGAGCAATGCGCTTAAGTTGTCTCCTTATGAACAAATATACCAACTATTTAAATTAGGAAGGCAGCCTATCCCTAAATAACCAAAAGAAATAATGTATAATTTTAAACGAGTACCTCCTGTCTCTTTCTTTCTTCTAGGCTGATAGTTTCTGATAATCCATTCTTCTTTACCTAAAAAAAAAAAAAATCCAAAATTTTAATTTTTAACACCTTTTGTAGAAAAATAGGACTTTTAAAAATATATATATTGTACTAATAAATATCACTTCAAGTATCACGCTAAGAATTCAGCCAAAGAATCCGGCCACTTCAGAAAGACAGCAATGAACTAGCAGAAATTAACCAAAAAAAAAGCTTGATAATGTCAAATTTTGGACTTATCCAAAGAATAAAATAACATCATTAACAACTATCACAGGACATACCTAGAGCTACTACAGCAAAAGCATTCACAGTTGAATCATTGTCACCCTGCACAACCTTAATGGATATTACACACACCCACCAAAGCATGAGCATCATTTTTTCCTTTTAATTAAGATTTCTTGATTTACACATGTACAACATCACTTGGTTCATAGTTTCTGAGTTGGCCTGAAACATTTTGGCACGCTCATTTGTAAAATAAACACATCTAAAGGCCTTTTTAGACAGGTAACTTGCTGGCCAAAAATTATTCTGGCAGAGCTCTGTCTTTATCCTAAATAAAGACTGTGAAGTCCTGACTAAATACCTCTGTATTTCTAATATCCTCAGACCTATGATGTCACCTCTTCTCCCTCTGCACCCTAAAACAAATCATCCAGGACAGGTTTGTCTCAGCTCTCCATACCCAACCATTACAAACTCCAGCCTGACCCACATCATTCCGCAGCTCCAAGCCCCACGCTAAGCTACTAAATCCCACACCAAAGTCCTCTTCAGTTTATTCTTTCTCTCCCAGTGTGAATTGCATGCTTTCAGCCATTTAACAGAACATAAAACAAAACAAACTAAAAAAAACAGAACGCCACATACCAAGGGAGGGACTGGCTTTATGTACTTCCTAGAGGACTCTTAAGAACAGGGCCTCAAATCAGGAGGATCACCTGCACATGGTTTGCTAGATTGGGACTGGGAAAGAGGCCACTGCAGAGCACTACGAGGGAGAGATACCCTTCCATCTGCAGAGCAGCACGCTGCAGGACCCGAGTTTATGAGACCTAGTCCCTAATATGAGACCCAACAGACGCACTTCCGTTCTCCCGTTTCTCTTTCAGGCTCCTTCAGTATCTCCTAAGGTACTATCACAGCACCAGTTTTTCCTTCTTCCACTTGTTCCTTGAAATTTTACAGGATACTTGATTTTATTCCTGCATACCAGTTACCACAAACCCGGATAGGAGGCTCAGTAGTAAAGATAGCGCAATATTAAGAAGCGCTGCACTTCTGCTGCACATTATTATGTAGTTCATGCATGCCACTTCATATTACATGCTTATGAAGAGACAATATACATTCAGATATGTTAAATCTTTTGAACATAAACTGCAGATTCCTATGCCTCTCCAAGTACACGCTTCTGAGTACCAAGCAAGAACTAATCAGATGCCTTTCTATTAAACTAAGTACCTTTTCAATTAACCACCTGAAATCTTTAAAGCACTCCCTAGGAAGCACAACATCACTTTTTTCTGGATGCCATTGAGGACTTTTCTAAAAATATGCTGACACAGGAAATACCTATGAATGTATCCAAGAGATTTCAATGCTTCCTGTTAATACAGCAACTTTATGTTTCCAGTGAGGTCAACGTGGCAACTGCTGCATTCATGATCCAAAAACTTAAGTTGTGTTTCACGACCACTGTTTTGTCATATATGGTATATGCACACAAAGGTGCAAATACAAACTATTCTTATAAGCATATGGCTTAACCTTATATTCTAAATTGATCAATGGCAAAACTTCCAAAAAGAAAGGGGCCCAAATATAGCGACTACTTTTGATGTACTCAGTAAAAGAAAACTCAATTCCTATTTTTAAGGTGTTCCAAAAAGGTTTTAGCTGTAAGAGTCTAAAATCACATTTGTAATACTATGCAAACAACAAAAGCAATCATATAACATACGCTAAGAACGTAACAAGAAAGAACACATAAGAGGGACAAGACTAAGTCTACTAACGTTGTCTCATCACCATACTAGCCTTTTTTTCCCAGCAATTCAGCAGCTCAGCTATGATTGATTCGTGCGTGTGCACGCACGTACATCAGAAATTAACAGTGAAAATGGTAAACCCTTGGCAAAACACTTGGAAAGGAAACAATCATTTAACCAAGCATGCACAGTACTGTATACTGTTATTATGGATAACGACTGAATACTGCATTTGTTGGAAAGTAAACATATTTAATATCGTGCATAAGCTATATTTTTGATACTATCAGTGTATATATCTGCTGGGAATTGTTCAAAAATATTGAAAGATGTTTTCGGAATATATCGTGGAAATATTGGCTATTCCCCCAAAATTAAAATTTTCAGTTAACACATGAAGGTTGAAAGGAACAGCGATAGTCAGTAAGCTAACTCTTAAACCGATCGTCTGCTTAGCCATTGCCAGCTGTCTAAAAGGAATCCAAAGAGGAAGACAGTTTCAGAGAGGAATTTGAAAGGAATTGGATTTAAACACCATATTATTGCAGAGCCTTAAACTACTCTTCGGAAAGCTCAATCTTACTTTCATATAGGTGCGCGCACTGCAAGAACACAGAAACATAGGGTTTTTAAAATTATTATCAAGAAAGACTTGACAACTTAATATATGAAGGTTTCTCTTTCTTTTCTTCCTTCCACATAGAAAGTCTAGTCAGAATTAAATCAGCTATCCTTCCCCATATACTTCCCACTTCCAACCTTGCAAATCAAGACAAGACACTGAACAAGTTTGCCATGCTCGAGAACAAGTTTGGTTTATGTAACTATAAGCATGAAATCTCAATAGTTCTCTTAGCGGGATCTTCTTCACACTACTTTGGTCTCAAGACAAGTTAGCAGGTAAACGTTCACGAGGCCAGGTATTTTGGAAGAGGTGATACTAGGCGATTTGAAAAACACCAGTTTACCTAGAAGACAGCAGAAAACCAATCTGACTTCACTGGAAACAAACTTTTGCAATATTAAGCAAAATAAACTACACTGTAGTACTTGATTTGCTGAAAGAGAATGGGAAGGCAACCTTTTCAAAGTCATATTGCATTAGCTTTATCCTAAACCACTCAATATAGAAAGTCAGTTTTTGTAAGCTGACTTAACAGACTACTGGAAAACTACTCGAGGCAGCTAGTCATAGCACAAGAAGAGTACTTCAATTCTTTGTAATTATTGAATTCAAGAGGTATTCATGTTTCAACACTCTAAGCTGCAAGATAATCAACATCTGTAAGACACCTCTTAAAGGCAAGCTAAATAGTAACACAAGATCTTACTGAGTCTTAAAAACCAATTTGTCAGGTAGTGGTCAAAACCGTCAGCTATTCTAGCAGTTCATGTTGTGCGAGAACAACAACAACAAAAATCCCTTCTTATGCTATATAGAGATGAGGTCTACAACATTCTCCTAATTACAACAAAAGAAACTTTCATTTCATAGATAACCTCCAGAAGCCACAGAGATGATCACAGGATAAAATTAACCACAGAAACTTAGAACTGTCACCCTTCCTTTGGCCTCAGAATCATGCAGATTGAGAAAGGCTGTAGAATTATCAACCAGTATCATCAATTTTTCAGCTTATCAGCAGGGATGATAGCATGATTACATGATTAAGATATCTGAATTCTACTTTGCTTAATGATGTTACTGAGAAAAAAAAAAAACACTACACGTACTAAATAGAAGACTATACTAAGGAAGGCAGAATACCATTGTCTACAGACAGCTTATGTTTTTAATAGTTTCTATTAAATAAATGCAATCAGATGCTTGCAGCAATTTGTATCAGTTCAGCAGAAACTTCTTCATAACTAATTGAAGCTCTTCCTTTAAGGGAATTCACCCTTTTCGTAAATTCACTCCCCTTATTTTTACATCAGTAAATTTGCGTCTGGAACAAAGAGAGGAGTCTAAAATGAACTTCTAAAGTGTACTGCTTCCTGCATAAAACAAAGATCTGTATATGATCAAAACTTCCATGTTCTTGTGAAATGAAACATAAATTGTAGGGAGAAAACAAGGAAAACAGAAAAGAAGGACTAGACATTATTTAAGATTCGGTCCTGCGAGGATTTAAGCCTCTCTGAAACTACCTCACTCAGAGCAGCCATATACCGTAATCTTCATTAGTATAAGCTTTTCTCTTCTAAGGACTTGCCCTGGTATGGCTAGCAAACACCCCACGCAGACAAGGCCTGAGTAGTCATCTCTGGGTACTGTGGGAAATGCAAAGTCAGGCTCTTAAACAGAAACAGAAGATGCATGTTTGATTTTTTTCAGCATAGATTTGAAAAGAAAAAAAAGGTAAACATATCTTAACATATAAGCATATAAGGCATCTTTTGAAACTTAAAGATTACCAGAAATACAAATTCTTGTGCATTTCAAAGTTTTATTTAAACTACATTTAAACTTTTTTTTCCTTGGTAATTTCAAAGCACATCCTCTGTCTGTTCTGTAGTGTGGTCACATGAGCCTACAAACACTTCTGCCAGGAAAAAAAAAAAAAAAAAGAGGTGTCAGGATGGGAACAAGTAACCTAGGGGCACTTGTTCTGGCAGAAGCATCTGTCTATACTTCTTAAAAATCAGAAAGCATGATTTCAGGTTTCTTTAGGCTGTTGGACTTACCTTATATAAAACCTAAACAAAACCTAAACCGAGTTCTCAGGAATTGGATTAGTAACATTTGAGCAGTAGCAAATTTGATGGTAACAGAATATCAGAAATATAAAGTATTATGGAAAGGAAAAGAAGGTGACAAAATTCTGCTGAAAACTTCAGTAGCAAGTAAACAAGCTTGCTTCAATACATTCCTAGATATTCTGTTTTTGTCCAGCTATGCAATGATTAAACACTCACAACAGACAGCTGACTCCACGTTGATCTCAAGGGCTTATTATAGTGAATGACAATCTTTTCATCTGATTTCTGCTCTCGGTGCTCAGACTCTTCATCAGAATCTATATCCAGAGCTTTTTCTTTATAGTTCTGATATAATACAGCATTTTCTATAAAACAACAAGAGTATGTCATCAATTGCCAGAAAGTTAGCTTATTTGCTTTCATAAAAATTATAAGTAACATTTAAACAACGAAATAAAGCAAAACGTCAGTGTGCTGCTCACAAACTCCAAAAGACAAAGACAGTATCTTATTTAGGATGGACAACGGCACAGTACAGTAACAATGGATCACTGTACCACTACTAGAAAAGATCCTGCTGACTGAATTAAAAGATAGATGTGTTCTTTGTCAAGAAAAATAAAAAACAGAAAACAATTTTTTCTTCCTTGGTTTGTTGTACAATGCTTCTTAGCCACCAATTTAAAAACGGAACAAGCGTGTCAGTAGAACACTGTCACTAATCCAGAGGTCTAGTTATTTTAATATAAAAGACCATTATAAATCCACTACCCATGCCGATTCGTATTCTGTCAGTTTTAAATACTGTCTTCACATATCACTAAGAGAAGGAAATGATCCAAATTTCAGAGATTTGAAGTCAGAACTATTCCAAACAGAAACTACAAAGCACAATAAGCATTTAACTCCTCGTTTGAATAAGCATGGGGCCTATCAACCTTAAAAATAAACACATTTGTTCTCTCTTGAGTACTACCACTATTAATTCACCAATATCAATGCAAAGAAACACAGATGTGGAACATATCCTTTCCATTTCTGAACCTCCTTAACCCCATGTTTTTCACAAGCACATGGAAAAGGACAGAGAAATTTAAGACCAGAGTAACCTACTGAGAGATTAAGCCGCTATACAAGAAACCTCTACAAGGTACTCCAGAGACAGGCCATGTTTTGGCAGAATCTGATTCCCCCCCCCACAGAAGAAAGGGGGAAGTGAAAGATTTGACTACTCTATGCACAGCTTTAAGTTTTCATACTAGTCTGGGCAGATCTGTTTTACCTGCTCTGACTGCAGGCAAAACAGTAGAATATTGTACAAGTTTTGGCCTTTTATAGAAGTATATATCTTTGTTTTTTGGAATGTGTCTAGAGAACATACATATTTTAAAGACAGGAAATTGTATATAGTAATTGAACTCTGAAAAGTATTACATAAAAAGTTATTATTCAGCTTTAGTCCGAGATAAAAGGGAACAATTAGAAGAGAGTCTAGGAGATATAATTAGGAGAGAATTTGAGAAAAGATGAAAAAAGATAGCAGGACATGCAAATAGGACATTACGGGAAGTTCTGAAAACAGAGACAAGTGGAAAAGGAAGGTAACACAGCATGAAAGAGCAGATACATGGGCAGTGCTTTTCTGACACTTGCACTTGAAGTCTAGGTAGCAAGAAAATAAAAGGATTACTAAATTAAGGAATTCACCCCAGCTGCCTTAGCATTCTTGCCTTACGGGGAACAGAGGGAAACAGCTGCATTACCCTTGCATCAGACACCTGATTTCTTCTTCTCTGAATTTAAGCGGTGACCCCAAGCCCATAAGCTGATCCACAAAAGTTAAGTCTTACACCTGTAAGGAGTCACAGGGAATAGGCAGGAAGACTGTCCCAACTCAGAGCACCAAGCCTTATTTACTGTAATTCTATAGAACTGTTAGGGTTGAGATAGCACATCAGTCGATGGTTTAAGAGTAACAGAAGTTTAAGCTGAGAAGAACCCCTTCAAACAAAACCACACCTGTAACCTGCCATTCTATATTCTTTAAGATATTGCCAAAAGTGTCTATTGCCAAAATCGTAGTTCAGTATTTTAGTCAACTTATTGAAAATCAGGTAGTTTGTATTAAAGAACTGCAGAAAACGATCCTGGAGTTCATTTCTCTTGTGATTTTAGCATATCATCAAGTCCGTACGGAAAAGGTCTTACCTTCCCCATCAAACGTCCCTTGTCCCTTCAGCATTTTCTTCTAATAACGTTAACAGGAAAGAGACATATAAACATTAAAAGGAGAATGCAAAATAACCAACAGTAACAACTGCTTTTATTTTATCTGGTACTAAGGCACTGAATTAACAATTCCTAATCTAGAAACGCCTGATGCTGGAAAAATATTCATGACAACAATTGTTTCATCAAAGAAAGTGGAAAGCTACTCTAGCTACTTTTCTTCTCTCATATAGTGTTTATTCATATTTGCCCCAAATGTTTCATTGTTGCTATGCTTTTCAAAGCATTACATATACGAGCTTTACAACAGTTCAGTGAACTTGCAACTCACTTCACTGGCTCTGGGCTTTCCAAAAGTATGTACAACGTACACATTTCAGTGGCTGTCTCTTTCCTCATCCTCTGCAAAGGACAACCCATTAAGTAATCTGTAAACTAATTTTCTGAGATCAAAACAAAACCTTTGTAATAAAACAGGTGTTTTATTGCAACAAGTTGTATGATCTAAGGAGTTGATTAAAAAAATGCTACCAGCCAAAAGGGTTTTGTGTGTAAAAATAGGACAATGCCATGTCACCCTATTTTAAGCAAAATTTCTCAGTGCTTTGGATAAAGAAAGTCTACTACCAAAAACATCCCAGATAAACAAACCTCTTGCTCAGAAGTAGTTCACAGGTTCAATCTATTGCTGTGTTGTCAGTTGTACCATTTTTGCAAAAACTTCCACACACCTATAATTTTTAATTTGGCTGAAAACTGTCATGAAGCTGATAATTATCTTAATAGTTTTAGTCCTTTGGCTGCAGTATTTTATTACACCATTCTGAAGCACTGCAGAAAGCTACCAATAAATTAAAATAAGAAATTAAGAATAAAAAAAAGAAAGTAAATACAAGATTACAACAACATGATATATTCAAGCAAAATAATACTTTAGTAGGTCTTTGTAATTTAATTTTAATGCACTAACGCTCAATGTAAATCCACGGCTCCCGAAGGACTACAACCAGGAATTAAAAGCAGGCATTCTACTTCTACTTGCAGGCATTAAAAAACGCTACAAGAACATACTTGAAATGGCCTCTCTCAATTTAAAAATCCTACTCTGATTTTTAAAAATACTTTTAAAGTAACATCCCAGATAAAGGAGTAAGGGGGAAGTTTATTTTTCTATCAATCTATTTATCAACTGCAGGCAGAACTTTCTGAGCCAATTTGTCTCCTTTTTTTTCCTGATGACTAGTTTCTGGGAAACAAGCTTTAAAAGATCAATTTGTTTGTGAAACGAAACCTAAATGGGCTGGGGAATCCAACAGGAAATGTAAGTGTGCATGAAGTTGCCATTAACACATTTTTGAGCCGACAATTGTCTCCCTAAAGTTTCTGCCACTCCACTTTGAAAGCGACGGCTTTCAAGTGATCTGTGAGACTCATCAGGAATTAAAAAAGGTCTCTGGCAGCAAAGAGCAAATTGAAAAAAAAAACAACCCAAAATGTATGGAAACATAGCGATTGCAAATCACAGCAGGACGTAGTCTGCAACTTTCAAATCAACGTATCTCTCATCAGCATAACTTACCTTCATCCTCCCCAAGCTAGAAAATTTCTCTTTATCTTCAACAACTGCTTTAAGTATTGGCTGAGACATTCTGTTTTTTTTCTTAAAATCAGAAGAGCTGTCAAAGTCAATGCCACTCACTACAGCTCTGCGGTACGAAGTGGACCGCAAACCGCGCCTCAGTGTCCCTGGGCTGTCCAGGTCCCCTTCTGCCTCCTCGTCAGCATCAGCTACCAAAGGCACGCTAAGGCTCTCCACCATGCTGCGGACCTTGAGAACTCTCTTGCTCGCCTCCGCATTTTGACTGCTGGTTTTGTTTGTCACTCTTATTTCAGAAGCCAAACTCTTCGGGATGATCTGCTGTTTGCCCACTTTAAGTGCCGCGGGACTGTTGGTGCTCAGGACTATGGACTGCTTCTCCACCAGCTGGTTCTGAGCAGACGGCGGTCTTTGAAGAGTTAAGCCTTGCTCCGGGGAAATTGCCTGGGAAACCAGTGGGGGCCCCACAGGCACTTTCTCCGCTCTTTGAAAAAGCTGGCTGGGTTGCAGCTGCAGTGCTGCTGTGTTGTTATTCGGAGAAGGTGTGCTTCCAGTGGGTGAGGACTGAGGACTAGGTGTAAAAACAATCTGTTCTTGCTCTGGCATAAGTGCCGACTGACTGGAAATCCTCAGGGGATGAACCAGGCTGTTTCCTGGTGAGGTAACTGTACCATTAGCTGTAAAACTTACAGAATTATTTGAAACCAGGCTGAGTATCTGAGAGGCCTGTTCAGAAGACAACTGAGGCGATACAGCTGTGTGTGCTGGAGACCGAGCTTTCCCGTTTGGCACAGACCCCACGCTGGAGTTGAAGAGCAGGGGGCTCCTCCGGGCGCCTCGGCCGCGCGCAGCAGCAGCCACCCTGCACTGGGAAGTCAGTGAAAAGGACCCCGTTGGGGCTCTGGTAAGACTGGGGTCTAGGCTTGCTCTTGGCATGTAACTGAGGCGGCGGGATCGACCTCCTCTTCCACAGCGGCGTTACGTTGTTGTTGGAGATATCCACTTCGCTTTCCCCATCCATAGCAGATTCCTCGCAATCAGCACCACGTCAAGGCGGAAGCGGCAGTCCCCGCAGGCTCCTCCGCGGCTGGAAACACCCTGAAGTCGGCAAGGGGAAGCAAAGAGCAGCGTCCGTGAGACCGC